GTCAGAGACCTCCCTAAGGTACTGAGGAGCAACAGTGTCAGTCTGGAGACCAAGGTGCGTCTGATACAGGCCATAGTCTTTGCCATTACTTGCCATGCATCAGAGAGCTGACAATGACTAGGGAGGACAGACGGAGAGTTGATGCCTTTGAGTTTTGGTGTTGGAGAAGAGTACTGAATATACAATGGCCTGCGAAGAGAACAAACAAGTTTGTCCTGGAAAGAGTGAAACCAGGCTGCTCCTTGGAGGCAAGGATTCTGAAGCTTCGTCTGACATACTTTCGACATGATGTGAGGAGAGACCGGTCCTTGGAGAAGGACATCATGCTTGGGGGGGGTGGAGGGACAGCGCAGGAGGGGAAGACCCTCTATGAGGTGGATTGATTGAGTCACTGAGGTAATGGGTGTGGGTGTGTCGGAGACAATAGGGTGGGCAAGAGATAGAGCAGAGTTTAGGGCTGTTGTACACAGGGTCACTATGAGTCACGAGCGACTCCATGGCACATAACAACCACCACCACCGCCAAAAGATTGTCAATTCAAATCCATCAGCTGCTTTGTGGTAAAAGATGTGCAATCTCCACGGGACAGATTTACAGCCTCAGAGACCTGAGGGAGAGCTGCCAAGCACCAGCATCCAGTGGAGAAAAGTGTCTTTGATTCTTTGGTTTTTAGAGAAAAAAAGAAGTCATTGCTCTTTAGATTACAGGCAGCTCTGGAGGCACAGTGCAATGTATGTTGTGCTGCTGACCAAAAGGTCGCGTGTGTCCAGCAGCTCAGTCCCAGGAGCCTCCGAAGGAGAAGGATGACAGAAGAGCAGTGTCCATCTGTGAAGACTTACTGCCCCTTATGAGATGATTTGACAGAAGCGGCAGGTCTGTCTGTTTTAAAATATTATCCCTCATCTTGTTAAGTTTAAAGAAATAAATCTCAAGTTAAATACACTTGAATGATCTACAGCGTTTTGATTTTGTAGGTCTGGATTCAAACTCTCAAACTCATCACTTTCAAGCTGGAACTGATTTATACCTGACCCTTCAGTGGTGGACTGGAGAGAAAGAGAGAGACAGAGATAGACATAGACATAGAGAGAGAGAGACAGGAAGAGACAAAGAGGCAGAGAGAGATAGAGACTACGGGAAGCCAAATTTTATATTAAATATTTATAATAAACAGAATGCTACTCCAGGTTGATATTAACTGGAAGTAATCCTGAAGCACTAAGGCAATCCTTAAACATTTATAGGATTTTCGCATTGCTTCTCCCTCCTGAGTCAAGCAGAAGGTTGTTAACAGAGAAAGTTTAGCTTCACCTGTATTGATTCTCTTTGTGATTTACTCCCTGGCAATTTTCAATAAAAGACAGGAAAGCTGGAATCAGCAGGCAGTTCGCTTCAGTGGTTCAAGAACTGTCTGCCTCCTGCTTTACCTCTGTGTTCTCCTACATTCTTGGTGTTCTGTCTCATTATTAATACTTATAAAAATGCTTTATCCTCAGTCTGCAACAGAGTTACAGAGAGAGATAGAAGGTCTTCCCATCAGCAGGACAACTCCCTACTGACAATGCACCAGAGATCCCAGTTCTTTAGGGTAATGATTTTGCTTAGTATCAGGTGGGCTCACCTAGGAAGTTGTGAGAAATGCAGAATTTGGGTCCCCATCTGGGAAGCAGGGAGCTCTGTGGCTTTGTGGTGAGAACTTTCACTGTTAACCCAACAGCAGGAGGTCAGAATGTACCATGGGCTCCGAGGAAGAAAGATGGGTAATCTCCTGTGGGACTTACATAGTATGACTAAGGGTCAGTTGTTATTAGTGGGTTCTGTCTTGACGAGAGATGATAACAAGACCTGGAAACTACTCAATCAGAATACACACTTCAACAAGGTATTTTATGTGTATGTAAATAAGAAATTGAGAATTCTAGCCCAAAGTCCCCACAACTGTCAAGTTGATCTCTATTTAGTCTTCATAGTTTTCTATGAAAATTATTTAGAGTGAATACTTTTAAGAAGATTATAGAAACAAATGCAACCACTGATTACTCTTAGCAAAGTTCAAACATTTACCTTTAAATGAAATGAAATTTCCCTTGTTCTCAGGAAATGAGTTCTTGTAGACTTCATCCAATTCTTCTGCTGAGTGGTTTGTGTAGCAAACTCAAACAATCATTTCCTCCTGTTTTGTCTTCGTTTGAGAGAGATTGTTTCAGACCCTTTCTATATACACTCTTGACAGAGAGCAAACCCTTTTTATCTTTCAGATGCTATGATGATGATAGGATTTTAAATCAGTCCACAGAGTTTGGTTACAGAACATCATTTTCTCCCTGATTTACTATGATAAATAAGTGAATTTCCAAAACTGTAACAAGAAAGTAAGTAAGAACAGAAAACAGAATTCATGAAGCGTTTGATGAGTTTTGAAGCGTTTGATGAGTTTACTGTTTAAAAAGAAAAAGTAATAACCCATAAGCCACTAAATAATTTTGCAAGTACATTTTGTTGTTGTTGTTTATAGAAAATAGAATTTTGGGTTCTGGAAAAGCCATCATTTCACTTCAGCGACAATGTCATATCACAGCTACCACATTCGATGTTCCTGACAAGAGAATTCTGGGAGTCATGGCTCTAGCTCTTCTGACCATACTAACTGTAACCCGCTAAGGATTCCACCTACCAGCATTCCAAAACGGCCTGCCTTAACTCTAAATTACCAGACATAACATGAAATTTCTGTCTTATAAATAAACAACTCTGATAAATTTCACTTGGCCACATGAGAACTTGGTCACATGAAACTTCTTGATCAGACACTCTCACTCATAAAGACAGAATTCATTTGTCGATATGCTTTACTAAAAAAGTATATTTAAAATAAGCTAGATGAGAACTCCCCAGGTGCTGACAAAATATATAAGAAAATAGTCAATTAAAGTAATGTTGAGTTTGTTGGAACAGAGCAAGTTTTAGACTATTACAGCAAGATACAGTATTTTGAAGACTCAAAGTCAGCAATATTAAGCACTACCTATTTGTGATAAAAGTAAAAAACCAAAAGTTGTTGTTATGTACCATTATGTAGGAACGAACCCATAGCTGACCCTCCAGCAGGTATTTGGAGACGGTAATTTTCATGGGAGGAGATTGTCCATCCTTCTCCCACAGAACAGCTGATGGATTTGAACTACACACCTTTTCTCTGGCAGCACAGTTCCTGACGCCAAGCCACCAGAGCTTCAAAACAGAAGTGCATGAGTAATATCAAGAGCTCTGTAACCCCTGAAAGGTGAGCTTCAGCAAAGGGAAGGGACAGTTAGCACAGAGGGGTGGCAAGGTAGTTGCAAGATATACACACACATAAATACTTCCTCTTGAATATTACGTAATTATTTAGTGGAAGAAAGCATGAGATTTATGTCAAGAAAAAATGTATTGTGGAATTGCGAGAATTCCTTTGTCAGCTGTGGTACCCTTTAATTTCCCAAACACTGAGAACTGGGTCATCTGAACCCCACTTTCCTCTGTACTATTCATCTTAAAGCAAGTATTTAATGCTATTTTCTGAAATTCCTAAAAATTAAGCAATCTGCACAATTATTATTGCTTATATTTTTACTTGCCTAGGTTTACTATTTAACTATTTAAATTATATCACCAAGATAAGGCTAGCAGCTCTAATTAATCCAAGCAGGTAAAAGAAGTTCGTGATTATTCTGCTCCTACTCACAGCTGGTCACAGGAGAGGGATGGGCAACCTCCTCCGTACGATTAATTGCTTCTGAAAACCTACTTGAAGGTCACCTATGGGTAGACTCTGACCTGTCACAACAGCAACATTCACAGTTTGTACACAAGGTTTTCAGAACAAACAAGCGGGTCTTGGAAAGGGTGCAGCCGGAGTGCTCTTTGGAGGCAAGAATGAGGAGACTGGTGTTATACGTTCTTGCTTATGAGCAAAAAGGGCATTATTCCTAGCAAGATATTTGTAGAATTATGCTTTTTTTATTTCAGAAGCTAAGTAGGATTAAACACTGTTTTTATGAAATCATGTAGAAAAGGGTTCTGTCTTCCTAGTAGATCAAAAGTGTGGGAAGCCAGGGCAACCTTAAGGATTAGATAAGAGAGTTTGGAGTAAAGAATATCAATGTCATACTATAGTTTCAATACAATAAGACAGGAATCTAGAAGAGAGTAAGAAAAGGATCAGGAACAAATCCTTTCCCAGCTCTGGAAGAACTTATGAAACCCTTCTTCCATGGCAAAGAATCATTTAGCAGGCTGGGAGAAGGTTTGCCAAGCTAACTCTAGTCTAGAGTAGATCTCTGTTAGCAGGAAGGGCAGACAAGCTATCTAGTACAATTGCAACAGGATAATCCTTTTCTCTGCTAGTGGGATAGATACTTGCCTTTTCTTAAAAGAGAAACATGTAACGAGGACCTCTGGGATAGTTTTGGACTTAAAAAAACCAAAGGCAAGCTCACTACCATTAAGTCATAACTGACCCATAGCTAACCTTTCCATGGGTGTCTGGGAGGCCAGAGATTGCAGGAGAGGGGACCGTTCATGCCCATTGTGCAGAGCTGCTGACGGACTCAGAGGGTTAGAGAGACCTCCCAAAGGAGCACACCCACCAGAGTTCTCCTCAGTTTTTGGACAAGAAAGGGGAAATTAAACCAAAATTTGACTATTTTGAAAAGTACATTGTTCTCTTAATGTAAGCAACACTTTAGGTTAAAACAGAATACTCTGCCCCTCTCAAGATTCCATCCAACTGTCAATTCTGAAATAGCTTTTGAATGAAAATGTAGAAATGATTTTTTAAAAGTCCTTTCAAAGACACCCTGCAATCAAATTTAGCATAATGGAAATTAAGTGAAGGAAGTGATTGCAACATGAAATATTGCATTTGACTGAATGACATAAATAAACAACAGATAATTATTTTATGCTTGTCACACTTGGTCTCAATTTTAAATTCAGAGGAAGAATAGCTGGACTGTACCTGACGAGGAGTCCTTTCTGATTTACTCCTACACCACTCCCAGTCCGAGAGGTCTGGCTTCTGGCCCTCTTCGTGAGAAAGTCTTCTCTCCGGTCCCTCCAGAAAGGCGGTTTCTTCATAGTCGGCATCAGCTCTGGCTTGGTGGGAATCACGCTTCGCCTCAGTAAGGTCCGTGTTCGTGCACTTGTTGACGCCTCTCAGGGTGGAGCTGTCCGGAGACGGTGTGGTGCTGATTTCCACGGTGATGGCACTGAAGAAATTGTGGGCGTCTCTCGGAGAGTCTTTCAAAGTAGTTTCACAGTCATAGTTCATCAGGTTGTGATAGGATATAAAATTGCCATCCTCCTCATAGTAATCTTCACGTGCTATCTTATAAATCCCATAGCTTCGCTGGAATGACAGATTGAATTCAAAGCTTCTCTTTGCTATGTGAAAACAAAATCCCATGGTTAGTAAAAGACCTGTAATGAACAGTAGAATATACAGGCTGTTAGATGCAAGTTAGCTATGACCCGTGAGTAACAGATCTCAATCTTGCTCTATCCTGCAATAACCGCCATTCTTGAGCGGACTATGTCATGTTCATTTATCTCATGGAGTCTCTTCTCTTTCACTAACCTTACCCTCCATGAAACTTTCCCCAAGAATGGTGAATACAAATAGGAAAGAGTGCTTGCAATCTGATTTCTAGGGATTAAGTCTTGTCCATTATAGCCCCCCAAAATCAAGTCATTTCCTCATCCTGGTCTTAGGTATTTTAATTTGCATCATGGTGAGTTTGAGATAGGTATGATCCCAAGGAACTTTATAGTCTTTACAGCTGTTGTTGTCGGTGTTAAGTGTTGTCAAGTCATAGACGACTCATAGCGATCCTGTGAATGAAAGACCTGGACACTTGTGTAACTTTTGTCCTTTCTCCAGGTTCATAGGGTTTCTGGAGACAAACTATTTCAGAAGTGGATGCCACTCCTGCTTCCAAGCTTGTTTTAATCGGGGAGCTCCACCAAGCACTGTCCACTATGGGTGACCATTATCACATTTGGCACATCAGTGTCACATCAGTGGTTAGCATCATAGCAAGCACAAATTATCTCTGCATAGCAAATGGATAGACCAGTGCTATACTACTTAGAAGAATGTCTGACCAAAACCAATTAAAACCAGGCCTGTCTTTAAAGTAGTTTTAGATAAATAGTTAAACTATAAATAAGAACACTGTCAAGGACATTCTATTGCAGTATTTTCTTCAGTGTATCTGTTGTTAGAAACTTACTTTGTTTTAATTTGTAGATAAATCATGTTGCTTATAAATTTTAATTTGCTAGAAATAAATCTATGAAAACTTTAATATTATTCTGACAATACTAACAGATAATTACTATTTCTAGCATCTATACACTTACTGTTAAACTTTTAAAAGTAATGCACACATTTCTGATACCAATAGTTCTGGGAAAAAACTGATAAAATATGCACCTGGATTTCTATTTCTGTGGATTGAGTCACTTTAAAACATATCTATAAAGCTGATTATTTACACATGATTTTAGCAGGAATGTGTAAAACTTTTAATGACTGAAATCAGGTGAAACATGATGGTATTATAAATAAAATAACATTGATGGATTTGGTACAAAGTCTTATTAGAATAACAAGATTGGATGACTCTGTGTGTGTGTATGAATGTTACAAATTCTGAATAACTTTAATGTGTAAAGAATGAAGTTATATGATGGTGCTACCACAAATGTAATTTAATGTTTTAGTTTTCATCTTCCAAGGCATGCCTCATTTCAGACAAATTTCCTACTTTAATAGCTCTGTGTTTTATAGCTAGACATTATGCGATCCTCAGTGAGTAGAATTATGAAAACTTATATCATTTCTGTGGGAAAAATATTAAATTTTGATTCATTTTACAATACACTCTAATGCCTTTCACATGCTGACTCTATTACTGACATATTCCTGGAACTGAAAATTTACAAACCAGTTCAGCTGTCTGAAAAGTGTAACCTGACGTATTCAACGTTGATTGCTTGGGAATACAAATGATAAATTTCTCTTCACTCAGTACTGAAAAAGAGAAATATACATGTTCATTTTATATACTGTCTCACATTTTTAAGTACTTTTCCTAGTAACACGGACCATTAAAATGAAGCTAGAATTTTTAATTTCTTTTAATACAAGGAGAACTTTGGTGGCCTGGTGGACAAGAAGTTGCACTGCCAACCCAAAAGCAAGCAGTTCAAATCCACTAGCTGCTCTGAAGGAGTTCTTGTGCACTGCTGAGTCGGAATCAATTCGTAGCTGACCTTCCAGAGGCCCTATCAGAGGTCGTTTAATCACTACACAAAATTGCTTTATTGCCAACCAGGCCCATGAGAGAAATATGCAAAGGCAGGAGAATGACTTGAACTTACTGTGTTTGAGTCAGAAGAAATACATTAAAAAGTTTTACCAAACAACATATTTTGTTTAAGTGAATTCCCTGAACTCTGAAGGTAAATTCTCACTAATACCACATGCAATCAAGATCCTGCTGAAGATTATCCAGAAACGACTGGAACAAGTATATCAGCAGAGGAGTGCCAGATGTGCAAACTAAGTTTAGAAGAGGCTGTGACACAAGGGCCATCATAGTCAATGTTAGTTGGATATTGGCTGAAAACAGAGGGTACCAGAGGAATGTCTATCTGTGTTTTATTGACTAAGCAAAGGCAACTGACTATGTAGATTATAACAAATTGTGGCTAACATTGAGAAGAAATATCCCCAAACACTTAATTGTGTTCATGTGAAACCTAAAACCAGGAAGCAGAAGTCAGAACAGATCAGGCAAACACTGCACGGTTCAAGGTCAGGAAAGGTGTGCACGAAGGAGGTGTCCCATCTCCATACATTTTCAATCTATTTGCAGAACAGATCATTTGAGAGTCTGGACATTTTGAGGAGGGATGTGGCAACAGTACTGGAGGAAGACTCATCAACAACCTGTATTATGCAGATGACACAACCTTGCTTGCTGAAACACAGGAGGCTTGAGGTATTTGCTGCAATAGGTCAAGGACTGCAGTCTTCAATATTAATTGAAGCTCAATATCAAGAAAACAAAAATTCTCACCACTGGGCTAACCGGCAGCTTCATGATAGATGAAGAAGAGATTGAGATTGTTAATAACCTGCTTGCTTGGTTCCACAATCAACTCTCTTGGCAACACCAGTTAGGACATCGAAAGAAAAATTGCACTGGGAAAGTCTCTTTGTTACTGACCTCTCTAGAGTACTGAAGAGCAACAGTGTCAGTCTGGAGACTAAGGTGCGCCTTATCCAGGCCATAGTCTTTGCAATTACTTGCTATGCACCCAAGAGCTGCACCGTAACTCAGGATAACAGAAGAAAGATCAATGCCTTTGAAGTGTGGTGCTAGTGTTGAGCAATGAACAGCCAGATTTGTCCTAGAGAGGATGAAAGCATGCTGCTCCCTGGACGCAAGGATTTTGAAGCTCCATCTTACAAACTTTGGGCACGTGGCCAGGAGGGGCCAGTCCTTGGAGAGGGACATCATGCTTAGAAGGGTAGAGGGACAGCTCAGGAGAAGAAAATCCTGGATGAGCTGGATGGACTCAGTAAACGGAGAAATGACTGGAGACAATGAGATTGGCTCAGGGTAGGGGAGGTTTCAGAAATAATGCACATATGATAACTGAGAGTTGCAGGTGATTCGATCACACATAACAACAATAACAAAAGTAAATTTTAACTAAGGTTATTTAGCCTCTCCTTAACTCTAAAGGTAAAATCTGACTGTTGTTGTTGTGAACCATAAAGTAGGAGCTGACCCATAGCTGGCCCGCTGGCGGGTCTTCAGAGGCAGTCAATCACATGGGAAGAGATTACTCATTTTTGTTTTTGCAGAGCAGCTGGTGGCCTCGAACCTTGTGCCACCAGGATCACAGTGCAGGTTCCTGCCACTAGGCCACCAGAGCTCATAAATTCTAAGAGAGGTAATAGGTTAAAGAAATGCTGGGTGACAGGTGATCATCTAAGGCTCCCTACAGCCATGATGTCTAACGCACTGAACTGCTAACTAATTTGCTCCAGTGGCCTAGGGGTAAGAAGCTGCTCTGTAATCTGAAAAGCACCCAGTTCCAATCCCCCAGCTGCTCCACGGGAGAAGGCTGGAAAAGCTATGAGTTGATTCCAACTTGACAGCTCACAACCACCACAAACCAATCTGTAGGTCAAACCCACCAGCTACTCTGAGGAAGAAAGACAGAAAGTCTCTTCCTGTCAAGATTTAAAGCATCAGAAATCTGATGGAAGGGCTGCTATAAGTCTGAACTGACTTGATACCAGTGAGTTTTATTACTTTGGTTAAGCTCCTTGAAGGCCAAGGTTGTATTTTTGTCTTCTTCTTATTTTATGAAACAATGGTAAAAAACCTCGAAAGGTCAGTTAGATACAAATTAGTATTATTGATGGGATCAAGAGTTCCAAGAAGTATAAACTGTGACAAGTAAACTGTATAAAACTGCTCTGTATCTGCAGTTCTACTTGTCTTGAGGGACTTCTCTTATCAGTCATTCAGGTTTACATGAATCCCAGACCCGTAGATTTTGATGTAAAACTTGATCTAACGTCAAATTTTGGCATAAAATTAAAAGTTGGTTAGAAGAAACTGTGAGGGTAATAAAATCATATCTTTGAGACATATTCAGCTCATGGGCCATGAGTTGTTAATTTCGGTTCTTTATTGACTATATTGACACAGTGAGAGACAAACAGGGACCACTCCCCAGTAAATACTGTTCAGTGAGTGGATAAATGAATGAAGGAGTGAATAAATGAAGCAAGCTACATGAAGCATGGCCTGTTGCAATACAGACGGATCTTAACTCAGTGACTTTGGCTGAATGGAATATGATTTCTAAAGTAACTATATTTTTATAATTGATTTATTGATAGGAAGAAGATCTTAAGGAATTAAAATCATGATACTTGGTGAAGAGATTGAGATTGTTCAGTTTGCTTGGCTCTACAATCAACACTCTTGGCACTAGCAGCCAGGAAATTAAAAGATGAATTGCATTGGGAAAGTCTGCTGTCAGAAACCTCTCCAAGGTACTGAGGAGCAATGATGTCAGTCTGGAGACTAAGGTGTGCCAATACAGGCCATGGTCTTTGCCATTACTTACTATGCATCAGAGAGCTGGACAATGACGAGGGAGGATAGAAAGAGAGTTGATGCCTTTGAGCTGTGGTGCTGGAGAAGAGTACTGAATATACCATGGACTGCTAAAAGAACAAACAAGTTTGTCCTCAAGAGGGGGAAGCCAGCCTGCTCCTTGGACGCAAGGATTCTGAAGCTTCGTCTGACATACTTTGACCATGTTGCAAGCAGAGTACTTAGAGATGGACA